GGGGGGAGCGCGGAGCGGCGAGGGCTGCGCCGGGAGCGGCGTGTGCGGGGAGCGGCGGCTCTGCTGCCGGGCAGGGACGCGCCCCGGCTGCCGGGCGGAGGCGGCGGAAACGAGACGGGGCGAGGGGAGGGAGCGGCGGCGGGAGCCGGTGCCGGCGGCCACCATTAGCGGCGGCCAGAGGAGGAGCCGCCGCCGCAGGGGTCCGCGGGCGGAGCGGGAGCAGCGGGAGCGCAGCGCGGGCGCCGCCGCGCCCCTCCATTTTGCGGGGGCTGCCGCGGAGCTGCGGCGAGGTGAGTGCGGGGCCGGCGCAGGGGCCGCAGGGGGCGGCGGGGAGGGGGAGCCGCGCGGTGGGGATCGGCGGTGGCGGCGAGGGGCTAACGGACCCCGGTCCGCCCTCCACAGGAGTGGCTGCAGCACAAGCGTTTCGGCTTCCGTGGCCGCTGGAGCTTTGAGGGCTTTTTTTCTTTTCTTTCTTTCCCCCCCCCCCTTTTTTTTTCTTTCCTTCACATTTCTTTTTCCTTTCTTTCTTTTTCTTTTTTTTTTTTTTTTTTTTTTTTTCCCTGCGGCTTCTCCCGGCGGCCAGGCTGGGGCAGGAGCCGGGGATGCGCGCGAGGGATGTGGTCTGTGGCATCCACACAATGTCAGCCTGGGTGAGTCTCCACCCTGTGGAGCCGCAGCCGCCCGATCCCCCGCGCGGGCATCGCCGAGCAGCCCCCCGGGGGACAATACACGCGCAAATCCCCCTTTTCCTCCCCCAAAACGGGGAGGACGGCTCGGATGATCAAGCACCGCCACCCCAATAAACACAAACCAACATCTTTTTAGTCCTCCTTCACGCAGGCTGCTGTGTGAAGAGCCTCCCAGGCAAGGCTGATGCCTGCACTGGTGTTCACGGAGATGAGGAGCGCGGTATATTGTAATTTTCTTCATGCAATATCACTGGTGGTGGGAGGGGAAGGAGGGCTGCCAGTACACAGGCTGTCACATGACCTGTGTACAATTGAAACAGGTATAGTATAATCATTTTTATTCTACATTAAAGCTACTTGTTTTAAAAGCAAGCAACTTGCCTATTCATTTCAGAAGACTCTTTATGTTGGGTTTGTTGTCCCATGTGGTGGAAAAATCACATGTGTATTTAGTCCCTGTCTATGAATTTTGTCTTTTTTTTTTTTTTAACCAGTATTTCAGGGCTTTTTATGTATTTTCCTCATTAGTGGATAAGCAGAAAGCAATATGCATGAAGTCACTTCTCTTGTACTGGAGAAGTGCAGGTGTGTTCAGCATGGTACGAGCCCAGCGTCTCATGCAGAGATACTTTTAGGCTGTGATTACATGGTGGAGGAATGGGAAGCTACTGCTTGTGGCACTGTAGAATCATTCCCGCGCACAGATGCATTTCACATGGAGTCTCTGCCTCTCGTTCTTCTAGCCCCTTGACTCCCTTGTCCTCCAGAAAGGGACACATCAGGTTGTAAAACTCCGTGGAGCAGAGATGGGAATTTAAGTGTTTAGTGGTAACACCTAATATTTCTAGAACATCAAATCTTCTTATTACACTTTCTGCTTAGTCAGCTTTTCCTTACTGCATTTCATACAAAAATAGATAGGGGAACAACAAAATCACTTGCTAAGCCTTCCTTAAGAAGAGAACTATAGCTGTGTGAGTTCTAGAGAGAGAGTTTTAAACTCGTTACATAAAAACATAGCCACTGTCCATATGTAATATACTGATATCTGTCCCTGGTGGGTGTGGTGGATAATGGAATATAGAACTGTGTTTTTGGTGTGTTTTTTTTTTTTTTTTTCTCACACATGAATTAGCCTGTGGTATTTCATATCAGTGGGTGACAACCTTACAGAAATCCACATATCTGAGGTTTTTTTTTTGTTGTTGTTGTTGTTGTTGTTGTTGTTACCAAAAAATGTTCTAAGGAACTACATTAATTTTTGTTGCTTTTCTGGAAGTTTCATTTTTGGGTAGATGACTTGTTAAAATGGCTTGGATTTTGGAGTAGTGTGACATGCAGTGCAGAATTCTTCAAGCAGTGCTTCTCTGAATCAAGAAAGGGTGACTTAAAGAAAAGTATTGCCAAGACAAGCCACAGTCCAGGAAAGGAATGTGATCTACCAGATGTTAATCTCTTTAAGATAATGAAAAAAAAGATGCAGAAATGGATGCTGACATGTTTTACATAATAATAAATCTGAAATCTTTGCATATCTTGACGCTATTGTCTTCAGGTTTGAATTTAAAATATTTTTTTTTTTTCCAGCAGGATAGCACATTGAGAGAAATTGTCCTGAACTACTTATATATTGCAACTCTTGTGTTTTTTAAGTAGGTAAACCTCCATGCATATAACACCTGTTGGCTAAAAGAGGGAGGTGCATGAAAATACTCTAGTAACTTTTATAGGTAATAGTTCCATCTAATTGATTTTTAAGATTTTTTCCCCAGGTGTCTGCTAGTCTTTGGAGTACCAGAATGTGCAGCAGCCCTTCTTTCCTGTCTTCCTCCTCTTCTCCAGAACACTTATTCCTCCCTGTTCCCCACATGCCACCTCCAAACATAAATCTTTTTGGTGGGATATGAACGTGAGCTCCTTTAATTCTGCTTTCAGCTCCAAGATTTTAAATAATAATCAGTTTTTCTTAATGGTAGGTTATTTGTGCTTTTAAGTGAACATTTTTATGTGATATTAATATGATTTTTTTTTTTTAACTAGTGGTAAACTTTCCTTCCTTAATAACTTTTCAGTCATTGGATGAGAAAAAAAATCTATCCAAGTGGGACAGAGTTAGATCTGAGTTATGAATCACTTTAGGTGATTACTAAGAATAATAATGAAAATTCTAGTCATTGCATAATTTAGCTAACACTCTTAATAGCACAAAATTCCAAACTTTTTATGTGATACATGAAGCCAAAGGTTCCAAAATAGTCATACTGTTTTCTGGTATGTTCAACAGTAGTTTTAATTTATGAGTCTTTGATATTGTGTAGAAGAAATAATAAAAATGATGTTGCTCTCTGCTAAAATCTGTCATATAGAAAATTCTGCTGATTAATCCAGAGGCAGTGACAGGTGGTTACCAAAGCAAAAATTTTGTACGTTCCATTTTAGCTCCCAGCATGAAGCATACACTGGTATGTGCTTGTTTCATGATGCTTCATTCTCTTTCTCTGCAATTGCTTTAAGAAAATATACTTTGTTTTACAGCTGAATCAGGCAGTGTCACATGAATAGGTATTATTTAAAAAGGAGAATGGTGGGGAGAATTCTCTTTTTTATCGATCCCTTTTGATCCCTATTGATCAACATGCAGTCGTATTTGATGTACTTATACGTAATGAAAAATGTTAATTTTATTTGATTAAAGAAATATAACTTGAAATAGTAATATAGTACTGAGTAAAATATTTTTAAGCTTTGAAAATATACGTTGATTGCAGGTGGCCATCTCAGCATTTTTAATGTGTATACACTTGAAATGCTTTTCACCTTTAGGAATGTCTCCAAGGTTAGGAAATGCCTGTGGAGAAACTGCACTGTAATTGCCTCAGTTGTAATTGTTCGCCAGATTAGCAAGGGATTTATGTTTCTACCCATTAATCTATAAGTCTTATAGTCACCTAAAAACTTTTTCCATTGAGAAAGGTCTATAACTATGAACTAGTGATAAATATCCAATTAAGTCTATAGGAACAAGTGATAACTATCCAATTAAGTCTGTCAGTCCCTATGAGAAAGACATGTAAAGTTCCTTAATGACTCAAGTTGCTAATAATTGTCCTCATCGTTGAAAAGCCTGTAAAGAGTAAGAGAAGTATTTAAAGTATGCTTTGTGTGACTGATACATGTATGTTAGTTGATGTTTTTTCACTTTTCAAGGAGTTTCTTCAGCATTTTGCCCATTACAGCATTATCTTTTTTTAAAGTTTTGTCTTGGACATCTGCTGAAATGCAGATGTGTGAGTACCAGTAGCCTGCCAAAATAAGTATTTAGAACAGCAAGTTGTATTCATATATTAATATTTCTGCTATATTTTTTTGTCCTCAGTGCTGGGTTGAACAAAAGTGTAACTGCTCTGTGTCCAAAGTAACAATGGAACTGCTTTTGACAGTGTGACAGTATTTATTTGTTTGTGTGTGTGTGTGTTGTCTTTCCTTGTTTCTTTAGTTGTACCTTTGTGAGTTTTCCATGTAGGAAGGAACAGTTTTGTTCATTTGCTTCCTAAAGATAAGCTCCAAGTAGAGCTCATCCCTTTCGAGTGATACGTGGATAGACTTAATCTTGGTACTAGTTCTCTCATGTAAGAACTGGAGTCTGTTCTTTCAAATATGGTATTTCTAAGGTTCCAGAGCTAATTTGCTGCCACTAATCCATTCTAAGAACAGCCATCTTCAGCATGGAGAAAGTAGCTGATTCTATGAATCACAGCCTT